GTCCCTGGATTTCCATGCTGGCATACCCTGGGAGCATGTTGTAAAAATTTGCTGCATTGCAGTGTTTTGTCTTGGAGCAAGTGGTGTGGAAGATGTGTTTTTCTAAGCTGAGTGGGCTCTCTGTAGCGTGAGTGTGCATCCGCCATGTATCCTTGAGCACTGTAACATCCCTTCTGGCCATGGAAGGGCATGTCCTGAGCACTCCAGCGTGCACATCTGGTGGAAGTCCAGTGGAAGATTTTTAGTGTGTTAAGTCTTTTTTCCTTACAGTGTGCTCCTTTTAGGGAAGAGAAATGCAGACTGGCCACTGACAGTGAGAGTGACGAGAAAGGAGGAAGGTTTTTTTGCTTGCAAATATTCGGTATTTGTATGCTCTGTTGAGCTCTGAGACCTGGAGTTGTTTAGCTATTAAGGAAAGGGAAGGAAATTCTCCTTGCTTCAGTCTACCTTTGGTAGGTTTGTCTCCTTCAATCTGAGCTGCCATGCCAGCTGACAGACTGCTGTCACTTTTAAAGCAGATGTGTTTTATGGATTCTGTGTTCTGACCTCCACTCACACAGCATGTCCCTGTTTTTCACCAGTGTACAAAGAGTGTGGAGCTGTGGTGTGCAGGAGGGGGAGGTACAGTGATGTTTGAACTTGATGGCACTCACTATCTGAAGCCTGTGACCTTGTGTGTAATGCCAGTAACCCCAATGTTTCATGAAAGCTGAGGTTGTGCTGCCCAGAGGCACTTAACCAATTTTACTTCGTGTTCCCTGGGGTCAATTTGCTGGAAAATGTTGTTCTAAATTGGATTAATGTGGCTTTTTTTTTTTTTCTTTTTTTTTTTAAAAGCTGCTGGATGCAATGCTGTCTTGGGCTTACTAATCACTTCTCCTTAGCAATATTGGGAAGCTGTGTATTTCCCCCTGTCTAGTTTCTTGCTTGGATCAAGGATTGATCCTGTAAGAACTGCTTATGACACGTACTCTCAAGTGGCTGGAACAGGATTTAGGACAATACTGATCCTCACTTAGGTGCAGAGTGATGGTCCTGGAAGAAAGTGGCTGAGAAAAGAGTCACTCCTTGTAGGCTGACTGGCTCAAGAACCCATTTATGTTTTTGACTGCAGCAATCCTGGAGAAAGGACAATTCTGAATAAATATCTCCCTGTGGGATTTCATTTGATGTTCTGCTCTCTGTGTAATAAAGTAGAGCTCGACCTCCACGTCATCAGAAGCACTTCATCCTGTAGCCAGGATACTGGAGCACGGGGCTGGTACCTGCTCTGTCAAAACAGAGTATGGGTCTAAATAACTTCCCTTGCCCTTTAGTAACTATTAATAATTAATTCTAGATCCTCTTGTGTCTTTAAGCAGCTTTAGGGCACCTTGTACAATGTAGCTTTGAATTCATTTAGTAAATGACCTCCAGAAGAACTAAAAAAATGCTTTCCTGTGTACAGCAAGGTCCAATTCGAGGGGTTTTGGTG